GTGTGTGTGTGTGTGTGTGTGTGTGTGTGTGTGTGTGTGTGTGTGTGTGAAAGGAAGCCTTAAGAGCAGCTTTGGGTCCAACTCAAGGCCTTCTTGAGTCTCTAAAAAGGCCTTCTCTGCTCCTTGTTTTTAATTTAAAAAGGGAAAATGCCTAGAATTTTTAGGTCAGCCTAAATTATGTGATAACCATGTAACCTACTACTCTACAATCGGAAATGAAAATAAACATATATATAGGCTGTGAGGAGCAGTTCACCTATTTACAACCAGTCAACGTGGTGATTAAATGCTAGGACTTGGGCATCCGACTGCCTGGATTTGATTTAAGCTCTTAGTTATAAGCTAGCGGGGCCTATCTAGGAAAGTTACTTAACCTCAGGAGGCAGTATTGGTAGTGGCTCTGGAGTCAGACAGCCTGCACCGCAACCCACCATTTCCCACCTGTGAACCTGGGCAAACAGCAGGAATTTAAATGCCCAAGATCCTCATCTGTCAATGGGGGTGCCAGAATCTATTGATTAGTTGTTGTGAGGATGAGTGATTGCATGCAGTGTGGCCCTTAGACGTGTAATGAGCTGGGGGAAATACAGACATGAGATTACATACATGGATAGCATTTGGTGTGTATTAAGCTCTCATAAATGGTAGCTTCTGTGTTACAGCAGACTATCATTGGGAGAATTTAAAAAGAGTTTGAAATTAAATTTAAAGGTGAGCTGGGGGTTAAAAATAAGAATTTTCTGCCCAAATTTAAAAAACTGTCCCATTTTTTAAAAGCAAACAGAGGAGGGTCCCTTCACTTCACCTCCTTGTGCTCGTATACAAAACATATATGCATTTTCCACTTTAATGTTCACTGCCTTGGTGATTACATGATATGTTTGCATCTGCTTGCTTTTATTAAATCTGATAAGTTGCTTCCTACCTTGCTATATAGTTTTGCATGGGGCTTAAGTTAGTTGTTATATTAAATATATCCTTGGGTTCCAGAGGCAACCTCTAAACGGCCAACTTTGGGGCATGAAGTTTCCTTTTAATAATATGCTTCTGTTTTGACCCGAGTGTGTAAAGAAAGAGCGATTACTGCCGATGACTTTGGGTCAGTTTCTTATCTCTCACCACTCTTTGGGGAGAACTTCCTTAGAGAAAGTGAATATTTGAAATGGTATCTTAAGATTTCAATTTCACACACAGTAGTTGTAAGAAATAACTGCCTACCGGTGGGATTTCATTTCTATTCAACGGGCAATTAAATTGCTCAAATTTAAGTTTAACATTTAGAATCGAGTCTCAAAATGTGTTTTCATTATGACTAATTTTAAAGCAATCATGACCTTATTGTATCCTTCCATAGCAACCTTATGCCTTATGCAGAAGAGGGACTCAGTAACTATGAGGCAATTTGAACACGTAAAATGGTTCTTGAGAGTTGGGGAAATCTATACTTGATCCCTATCCAGTGGGATTGTAATTTAATTCCTTTTGCCTTCCCCCAACTCCTTGCAGATCTTAAATACCCTAAAATTTAGAAAATTTCCAAGTTTTCCGTCCTGAATGTGAATGTCAGAGGAAGACTGAATGAGTTGGCATGATGAATCTGACCCTAGGTGGATTACTTTCTTCCTGTTGGCATTTTCTATTCTTTTTTTGCTTATTACATCTACAATTGTTTTCTCCGGAAGAGCAGTTTAAGTGACTAAGGCTACATTTCTTTGTTAAAATGGACTTCCAATACAAAGGAAAATGCAAATGTCATTGGGAAAATGTCAAGAATGACAATTTACCTCTTTTATTTTTTTCCAACCATTAGAAGCCAACTTGCGTCATATACCTGTTAGTTGTGACATTCACATACAGGAACAAAAATAAAGGTTTATTTTATTATGGCTTCAGCTCCCATGCAAACTTCTTTAAACTACTCAATTGTCACAAGTATCTGGCTCCCAAACACATTTCAGAACATTTCAGGGCACGTTGATGGGTATGTTTTCAGAATGTTAGACCTATTAGTGACCTTAGTGATAAATAAACCAGATTTCCTATATAGTAGAAAAGAGCTCCAAAAAATCTAAAAAAAAAATCTTTATCAACTGAGTTTAGGAGATGAGCATAGGTGTCAGAAGGCATAGCTCAGCTGTTTACTAGCTGTGTGACTTGGGGGAAGTTACTTCACCTCTCTGAACCTCAGTTTCTATATTTGTCAAATGGAGGCAATAGCAACACTCAGCAGGGCTGGGACTAGGGTGAGGCCATAGGGATGCCTGCTTACTTCACAGGAATTTTAAGAGGATTTAATAGGATAAAGTGTGTAAAAATGCTTTGTACAGTGATGGTGCATAATATATGCTCAGAAATGATACCTGTTGTTCTTACCCTATCTTTCAGAAGTCATCACCACCGTATTAGGTAGCAACAATCTCCCAGCTAGTCAGGACATCCGGCAAAGAATGCTGCGACTGGGGTGCTGTAGAAAGAGCTGAAGTGTGCCTAAGACATCAGCAGGCTTCAGGCTTGGGGAGCCCCCATATTTCAACCGAAATGCAGGATTGTGCCCATTTAGGTCCTGGGTAGGCTGCTGACAGCTTCACTGCTTCCCTACCACATTGCCTGTTTCAGCCACATCCCTGATTTTATTCATCTGCTTTTCCCCTTTCCAACAACTTCTAAATCACCTTTTACAACTAAGACAAGAGGCAAAATCAAGTGCTAAAGTAACTGCCCCCAAATGTCACAGCTCCACAGCTAGGTCTTAGCAGAGTTAACCTCACAGCATGTCCTAGTAGAAGGAGCCTCTGAAATGTGATTTCCCAGCTTGCTCCTTGGAGCAGTAGGGGTTCTGAAGTGCTTCCCTAGTGGGCTCCACCGCCCCTGCTCCAACTGTAGCAGCTCTGCACTTATTGACATGTTGCTCAGCCTCTCTGGACTTTAGCTTCTGCATCTGTAAAGTGGGCAAATTCAGAGTACCTATCTCATGGAGCTGCTATAACAATTCTGTGAAATGAAACATATAAGGTGCTTGGAAAGGAGAGTGGCACATAGTAAGCTTCTGTGGAAGATTTTGCTTATACAGAGAGATTCCAACTTTAAAATATTTGAACAACCATTGGTGATTCAGAGCCCCTTTGATGGACAAGGCAAATGAGACATGGAGTCAACAGCTCCTTCTTCCACCTCTGCCCCCATCAAATCCTCCCCCACGTTCTCTCTTTGGGTACCAGACCTGAACTTATCTGCTGCTCTGTGTTCAAGGGGGAGTCAGAGCTGGGTGAGCTAGCTGACTCACGGAGCTGTCCCGGGGCCCTTTGCTCACATGCTCCATTTCATCTCTTTAGCTGCTCAGAGGCAGCCCCACCCGGCTGACACACCACAGTGCCTGGGACCCTGCAACAGCACATTTGAGATCCAAGCTCCTTTATGTGGCCTAGAAAGCTTTATACTATCTGGCCCCTACTACTCTTTTCCATCACAACCCCCTCACTCTCTCTGCTTGAACCACACTGACCTTTTCTCTATTCCTTAAAACAAACCAAGCCGACTCCTATTGGAGGGCTTTTGCACCTGCTCCTCCCTCTGTCTGAGATGCTCTTCCTCTAGATCATCCCATGGCTCCCATGTACTTCACTCAGGTTCAAATGTCTACCCTCATAAGAGCCT